CAGTGGATCATAGGGCCGCCAACGGAAGTTGTTGTTGCAGTTACTTGGCCAACTCTTTTACCAACGAATAGTAAGAGTGACCGTCACATTATAACGCCCCCCCCCCCCACGGCTGAAAGGGCGAGCATGTTTGATGGGACGGGGATTCGAACCCGCGACCCTCAGATTACGAGTCGAGCGCCCTGGCCATGGGGTTTATCTGGTTGCTTACCAAAGAGTGTGTACATATACACCACACAACACCTAATTTAGATGACCAACACCTTAAAAAACAATATTATTTCACCCACAGTACTATACTTGAAACGACCAACTAGTAACACTAGATGTATCTCCCTTAATCTTATGAATCACCCATTTAAGGTCATAGGCCCGGCATGGCCAGGTGGTTAGGGCGCTCGACTCGTAATCTGAGGGTCGCGGGTTCGAATCCCCGTCACATCAAACATGCCAACCTCCGCCTTTGCCTGGTCCCAAGTCCAGGATGAGAAAGGGTTGGGCGCGGGGCTAGCAACTCCACCCCGTAAAAACCAACCTGCTAGGTGGGTGGTGATGACTCGCTGCTTTCCCTCTATCCCCTGTCCAGGTTATGGCTGTTTTCAAATTTCGCAGAAAATTACAGAAAGGCCTAACTGCCCCTAGTTATGACGTTAAAAATGAATATTAGGTTTTCTATTGTTAGTTCAACTTATTTAGTTCATTATATGTTTTAAATATTTTGACACACTTTTTGAAACACATAAAACATTGAAATTTAGTTGTTGTTGTTTGTTTTCGCTTTTTATATTTTTCACATTTTTTTTTCCGTAAGACTGGTTGCTCTTATAATGTTTATTTTATTTATTTTAGCATTATTGTATTCCCACTGCTGAAAGCGCGAGCATGTTAGGGGAGGCATGAACACTCAAAAGTAGTATAATCGAATAGTAGTATTTGACTGTCACTTTTATGAAGTATCCACGACGTAAAGTGCGAATTGCAGTATATACATATGCGTTTTTTCGACAATGGGTATTCACAACTTATCACGTTAACTACTGAGCCACGTCCGGTCCATTGTTTAGGTGTCCTAATGTATCACATTGCAATACTTTAAGTGGTTATCTGTTTTACCGGTAGGATTACTAATACAATGGGTTAAAGAAGATTACACAAAACAGATCACTTTGATACTTTAAAGTTAATAATTTTGTGATAACCAGTTTCATCCAGATTTATGTGTGTGTGTGTGTGTGTGTGTGGCATGATTTCACATCAATATTTCTTTTTGGATTTTTTTTAATGTTTTTTCCGCAAAGCTTTTTAAACTAAGGTTTGAAAGATGTAGAAACCTCATTCCCATGGTTACAAGAGATTTTAGCAACATTGTTATCATGGTTACAGAAGTTTTTTTAACAGCAACTTTGTCCCCGTAGTTACAGGAGTTTTAGTAGCTTTGTTACCATGGTTACGGGAGCTTTTTTTTTATACCAACATTGTCCCCTTGGTTACACCAATTTTTAGCAAACTTGCTCCCATGGATGACTGTAGGAAACTCGTTGAATTTACGTGCTGTTTAAAAAAAGAAAACAAAATTAACAGACTTTAATACTCAGTTACATTTAGTTTAAGCTCAACAAATTTTATTTTTCAATGCAAGGATGACCTAGTTATTTAAGCCATAACTACTTTCTCGATCTTGAAATAAGTTTCATTTTTAATAGATATCGTATTAAATTCAAGGTAAACTTGAAATATACTAACTCCATTACATATTAAATGTTCACTGACGGGAAGATTCATAATTTCAAAACTTAATTCATCATTCATTTATTGAATTTAGGTTTAAAATGTCTCATTATTGTTTTGTTTGTTTTTTAACAATACTTTAATGATAAACACCTACTCTCAGAAAAAAAAAAAGTTAACATTTTTTAAAAAGATGTTAGAAATGAGCGTGATATGTTCGTAGTATTATTTCAAATTAGATGATTTTTTTATTGCTAAGAATGTAATGTTTGTGATATATAAAACTTATATGCATAGATAGTCATAAATCAATATTTATTCAGTTCATTTGACCTCTCCTCTCACAACTCTAAAATCCGATGTTAGATCCCACACTTAAACGTTTTTCTTTTTATCTGTTCGTGCGCATGTGCCGAAGTGGCAGAGCAGTAAGTCTACGAAATTACAACGCTAAAAACCGGGTTCCGATAACCGCGGTGGTCACAGATAACTCAATGTGTACCTTTGTGCTTAACCCCAAAAATTCTCCGTACGCATCTACAAAATCACATAGAGAAACGGAAATTATAGGCTTACTTTGTTTTATACTAACAAGTTTACATTTATTTTACTCTCTGCTACGGACATAATGTTAGTTAGTGAACCAGTCTGCGGATCTCAGAGTACATGGTTTGAGGCGTGACATCATTGATTCAGCACGTTATATAAAGTATCGTTGAATTCCGTTACTCCACTCAGAGACCGAGACAAATCTCTTGTTACAGCAGTGCCATTGGATGATTGACCTCTGTCTGGTCAGTAGTTCAAAATTAGGGCCGGACTTTTGGGTTCCTCTGACTTTATCAGTTAGCCCACGTTTACATTGAAAATTCTAATATCGGTTAAAGTAGAAGTGACAATCACATGAGTTTTTTTTTTTTTACATTTCAGACTTTTTACTTGTTTATTTTATGAATCATCACACACACACATATATATATGATATTTCGCTTTGATCTCAATTCTAATTTCTTCTACTGAAAATTAAATAAAATATTAACAAAGAATATAGAATTTTCTTCACCGCAATTCACTCTTTTTTCAATATATTTTAGGTTCCAATCGGGTTGCCTCGCGCTGAGGAGTTATCCATAATTTATCAGTGTACTGAACTGGAATTTAATAAACATTTTGCGATGACTTAAGATTGAATAGAAATCATTCGTTCGATAGCTCAAAAATATAATAATAAAAAAAAACTTTAAAATCTGCCTGTACATAATTTTCAAATAGTTTTGAACTTTTAGGCTTGTTTTTTTTTTTAAAGTAATGTTTTGCTTTGATATTTTCTTTAATGTTGTTTAAATTTTGTAATTTATTCCTGAAAAGGAAAATATAGATTCCGTTTACCATAATTTGTTTGCAATAATTCGTAATTTATACTTCATTTGTTTGCATGAATCAAAATTCCCGCCGGTTCCGATTCTGGGACCAAGTAAGGGCCCGATTACCAGAGTGAATAAATTCCTTGGAATTATTTCGCACGGAGTATTAGTAGTTTGTTACATACGAACAGAGTATCGAACAGTGTGTGCGTGTGTATAAAGGATAACTATTCATCATGATATTAACTTTACTACCGTTTCGCTAAACGTGATTCGTCGATGTTTCGTGACGATTAAAATATGTAACCAATGGTAGCTTGAACGCTTGTTATGGTACTGAATATTGTAAAGGTTGTCGAGAAATAAATTCAAATAGTGTGTACGTACGTTACTAAATTATAATTTTTTTCAGGGGCGGGATGTTGAAACAACGACTCCTACGACTAAAATACTGTCGTGAAGTAAATGGAATTCAGTTTTGGTTTCAGTTTCTCTTTGTAACAGTAATTACCAAAAACTTAACCTTTTTCTAAACATCAGCGTAATCTTTTTATCATTATCACTAACATTACAACGTATATTTTAAGAGTTAGTTAAAATTTATAAGATCACATTTCATGATCTACTTAAAGTTAAACATTATAAAGAGAGTAATAAGTAAACATTTGAGTTTAAACATTTTTAACGTTTCGTCGTAACTAGTTACTAATAAGGGAATAACACTGTTTTTAATCTCGTCACCAGAGATGCATTGAAAAAACAGATTTTCTTCTAAATTCGAACAGCTTTACAAACAAAGGTGTTTGTGGCTACTTCCAGCAAGGACCAAAACTGCCAAATACCTTGCACAGCTTTTCAAACAAAGGTGTTTGTGGCTACTTCCAGCAACGACACAAATCTACCACAAACCTTGCACAGCTTTTCAAACAAAAGTGTTTGTGGATACTTCCAGCAACGACACAAATCTACCACAAACCTTGCACAGCTTTTCAAACAAAAGTGTTTGTGGCTACTTCCAGCAACGACACAAAACTGACAAATACCTTGCACAGCTTTTCAAACAAAGGTATTTGTGGCTACTTCCAGCAACGACACAAATCTGCCAACATACCTTGCACAGCTTTT